AAAAAAGGGAAAGAGAGGAATGAATAAGAAAACCATTCAAGAAGATGACTTTTTGACTCTCTTCGTTGTTTTGTTAAGACAAAGGGAAAAAGAGACAATTAATTCGTTTCTTTATCCATCAATTTTGGAAGGAAAGAAAAAAAAGATGTTGTCAGCAGACGAGACTGACTAGTACAAGTTCATGATTTCAAAACTTTTTTCTCAAGTTTTCAAATTTCGTCCACTTTCTAGGAAACTTCCTTATGGAAAACCGTATCATGGCATATTCTAGTGATATGATAGTAATATATTAATAGAGTATACCTTGAATATGTGGTTTTAGCATTAATTTTACCAAACAAAATTCTTTGAACGTCAGCATAATTATAAAATAATGGTGAAGTAGCTATATATAGCTGAATAATAAACCTAGACTAATTATTATGTTTGTCATAATAGCCGTTCATATTTATTGTTTACTTTTTCTAATCATATACATAATTTATATATTGATTATACATATATAATATATAGATTTTACATATATTATATCACAACCGACTATTTTTAGTTTAAGCGATCGGTTGGACGGCTATTTGGGTTAATTCATTCTTTTTGTTTGAAAAGATTATGTTGTTTTTTTGTGTATTTGAAAACTAATAGAGCAAAGTTTTTTCTGTCGATGTGATGTGTAAGTGAAAGACAAAAAGTTAAGGACAAACATAGCTTGCAATTTTTTCTCGAGTGAGAAAGTGAAAATGAAAGACCAATACGGCTTTAGTGGTTAGGAAAGAAGAATTGTTAAAAAGAGTCAAATGCTCATCAAAATGCAAAATTTATCCAACTAAATATACAATGACTGCATCGAACATATAAGAATACCTACATTAAATATCTAGGTTTAATATATTTTGAAATACTTTTTAGTAATTATTAAAGATTTAAACGTGAGCATATTTACAATCTCGAGTTTTACGAGTCCACTGCAACTTGACAGATATTTGGATAGATGTTAATTCAAAATATGGAATTCATTTAAACAGTTATTTATAGTTCGAACTGAAAATAATAATAATAATAATAATAATAACAATAATAATAATAATGAATATATTTCATATCTTAAATCCACTCATATAGTTTAACTTGTAATGTCAAATCATGACTTAAAACCCAAAAAATGCCTACTTAATTAGCCTTCTTGAAATCAAATCATTAGTTTACTTTATCATTTTAAAGTAAAGTTTTTGAAATAGGAGTAATAAAGATGAGGTCCATAGCTCAAATACATTCACCTATCGTAGTTATGTTTACAATCTTTCTGTTTTATTTAAGCGGCTCGGACTATGTTTTTCTACTTGATACAAAACATTTTATTTTATTTTATCTCATATCAAAACGTGTGTATGTGACTCAAGTCACTGCCGTAGGCAAGTTATGATTGGCAAACAATGTTACATACGCATGTTAAATTAATTGTTCAATATGTATGATAAAATAATTCTAACATTCAGTTCCATAAGCTTTTATCGTAGATTTAATAGCAAGTTGGCTGTCCAACGGGACGGGACGGGACGGGACGACATTTAGTCGGGACGGTGGCGGGACTGGATGAAACGGGACGGGATAAACGGGACTAAACGGTAGGTCCATCCCGTCCCGCTAACAAACAGGACGAGACGGGACGGGATGGACGGTAGGTCCATCCCGTCCCGCTAACAAACGGGATGGGACGGGACAGTTTTGCGAGCCTTAAGTACCGTTTTTAAAAAAAAAATATATATTTAAGCATTGAGTTTGGCAACGGCTATTCTTTTGACAATGACTAAGCTTTTAAAGTTTGCAACAACTAGTTTTTTGACTTATTTAATAAACTTAAAAATTAAACGGAAATTAAGAAACTAAGTAAAGAATTATAAAATATTAAAACAAAAGACTTGTAATGAAATATTTTAGTAATTATAATATTATAATACAGTTATAATTTATTTAATATAATTTCAAGCCATTAAGTAACTAAGTAAGAGTGTAAGACAATTCATAAAAAAATTCAACGCTTAGAGCCTTTTATTTTATTAATAGAACTTTCAAATCTCACATAAAAATATAATTCTTTTGAAGAGTACATAATCTACGCAGCCACCTTCTAGGAAGGGTTCTGTTTGAACTAGGCCTCTTAGTAGCCAATTACAAATTATCATACTAATATTTGTAAGCTCCTATATAACTTCGTTGTAACTTATCTATAATTTTGCTCGGACATTGTTCTGGAATTGACAATGTTGATTGATGTTCCATGAATTCTATGCTATCATAGCTCCCAGTACTAAGTATCTCATTGTATTCTTCTTCTTCCCTAGTTTCACCATCTGTTGTTTCCATAGATTTATATTTATCAAACATTGATCTAATATAAGAATATATGTTAGCTTGGCAGCTTCGAGAGATGGTTGTTCATTTTCTTGAATTGCTAAATTCCTCATAAATTTTACGAACAAGTCCATTTGCACCTCTTAATTTTAAAGTTGGGTTAAGTATAGTAGAAATTAAATAAACTTGGGGAATAAGGAAAAATACTTTTTAAATTTTGCAATCATTTCATTAATGGCTGGTGCATAAGTTGGATTAATTTTGCAATCATTTCATTAAGCTAGTTGTTGCAGTTGTGTTAGCACTTAACAGAAGCATTATCTAAGGTGATAGTTAAAACTTTATCAATGAGTCCATAAAAATCAATAATTCGTAGAACAGTAGTTGCAATATATGCTCCAGTGTGTTTTGAATCAACAAATTTATAACCAATAATACGTTTTTGCATGTTCCAGTGATGATCAACCTAATGACACGTAACAGTTAAATAATCACAACCATTAGGACTACGACCTATATCAGATGTGATAGACACTTTACAATCTAAGTGAAAAAATATACAACGAATATACTAAATATATTCGGTTTGAAATTTAAAAACATCATTTCTAACCGTGGTCTTAGGAAAATCTTGAAAAGCAGGATTATAAGTTTCTTGTATATAATGCACACA